AACTGTCTGATTAAATTATATCGAAAATGAAATTTGCTCCTTTAAGGGAAGCTGTGCTATGTTTGACCGAGGCAAACCCATCATCTCCATTCTAAATGATAGAACAGCTGACCGTTTATTCCCCTTTCCTCTCATCTGCCGTGATTTACACCTTTGAGGATAACCCACAGACTGTTCGCTACTAAATCGAATGATCAAAAGGGAAACTCTAATTTAACAACCTAAGTTCATGCTCGTCTCACCTCGTTCTCGCTCCTACTGCAAAAGGAACGTCAACCAATGCTACAAAAAATACACATTACACAAATACGATAGGTTCCCTCTGAAAAAGGATTCCTCTTTACCAGAGAAATAGAGTACTCTTTGAGTGTATTCTATCCTTTCATCCATCTCCTCTTGGTCAGCCGTAGCAGCAGTTTTTTACGTTGGTTATTCATTTCTGCATGGTTTGCCGCTTCTAGGCCACGATACTAAATAAAACCTCCTAGAGAGAGGCAAACAGAATTGGTTTTTCTTTCTTTTTCTAGATGATTAATGCGAAAATAGAGGATGTAAAGAGGGTAAATATTATTCTGTTACAGTCCAAGAGATAGACTGTTCAGCCTGAGTTCCGAGGTCCACACCTTTAGCACAGGATTACTGGAGAAACCTAGCGACGGTATTTTGAAAGCGGGGAAAATCGGCGATCTTCAGGCTTTGAAGGAGCTACACGACAGTGGACACTCGCTTCTGTCCATCGACACAGCTGGACAAACTGCTCTTCACCTGGCCTCGAGATATGGTCACAAGGATATTGTCAGATATCTAATCGCTTGCGCACCATCGAGTATTCTCAACATGGTCGACAACGACAAGTGAGTTTCGTCGATAATTCGCTCGTCAAAAAAGAAAGAAACAAAAGTGAACATAAACAAAAACGTGTAACCATATATATAAATGGTAGATGAAAGAAGAGTCTTTTTTAGATGTTTGTTGAAGTCTCTAGAGATTTAGATCGGTCGCATGAACTAATCAAATCTAACGCAAACTGTACAATGTGTCTTTTTTGTCCACGTTTCGAAAGTCTGTTCACAACAACCAGAGCCATAAATACCGATATCAAAGAAGAGGTTTATATTCCTGGCGCGCGAATCGAGAGCAAACAAAAAAAAAAAACAGGCTTGTACCTTCTAATTGCAGAGGTCAAACTGCTTTGCACAAAGCGGCTCAATATAAGCGTCGTTCCATTTGCTGCATGTTAGTGGCTGGCGGTGCTACTTTAACTGTCAGGGATCGAAACGGCTACTCACCTCGTGATCTTGCACTGCAAGCGGAGGACCGTGACCTCGCAGCGTATTTATACAGTGAGTGTTTTCATTATTTTTTCTTTAAAACGAGTGCACATTGTTGAGAGAAATGTTACACCTGGAGATTCGCGAGGAGTTTCGAAAGCGAGGTTCGTTTGAAGAAACGTTCGGTGTTGATCACTCTGTGAGATAATGGCGGAGGGAACATTCTGCGCTGTCAGCTTTCTTTCCGAAGGCTATCTTCATTTTTAGTTTGGTTTAGTTTCTTCTGTTTTTAATATTTGTTAATTTATTGATTTAGATGTTACATTTGTAATACACCACAGTGTTTTCACTCACAGTGGTGAAATTATTTTAATTTTACACTCTTTTCTTATATTTTTAATATTTGTAAATTTATCAATTTACGTTTTTGATACACCACTGTGTTTTCACTCTTAGGTCCATACGAGCTATCACAGTTAGTGGTTATTATTACTGCATACATACAGATTCCAAAATTATTTTTCTTTTACTTTCTTTTCTCCTATTTTTAATATTTGCAAATTTATTAATTTACATTTGTGATACACCACTGTGACTTCACTCTTAAATCAATATAAAGCTATCGCATTCAATACTGATTATTATTACATACATACAGATCACAAAAAAAAAAATATTTCAAAATCATTTTCATACGTATACACTTCCACGTTTATTACTTGACACACACAAAAAGACAGATACCAAAAATACCCAAAAAAGTACCGACTTTTTAAAGAACTACCGACCACTGTTCCCCATTGAAAAGAGGAGCTCGTCGAAAGCAAAAATTATTTAACGCACACGACTTTCATTGACCATCCAATCAGCCACTCGATGTCAAACTGAAATCTCTTCCGCCATTGTCGCGCTTTCGATGGATCGTTAAAATCGACGTTGTTCGCTGATATAGGTCAAGAGGAGTTCCAGCTGACAACGGAAGAAATGGAGAATACCATTTGACCTCCGTTCGTAATTGGCAGGGCCTGAGCCGACTCTGAGTAGCTTCCTGCCTTCGATGGACTATCCCCAAGAGGAAGGAGATCCAAAGTTGAACGAACGAACGACGATCGCCGTTGATCTAGATCGGTCGTCGAACGGTTCGTTTTCTCAAGCTGCGTAAGTCCGCACGTGATATATCGATTATTCCTCTCATCGACAATTCACGTCACGTTAGTAAAATACGCGTGTGTGTGTTTATCAAAAAAGGTGCTCTCTCCGATCCTTTCCTCCCATTCCAAGCCTCCGAGATCGCTTTTCTTTTCCCTCCCCCGCCGCCGCCGCCGCAAACGCGCGTTGTAAATTAAACTGTGCATAGGTTGAATTTATTCTATACGTTACACTCTCGTACCTATTATAATAAACATACAGATTAGGGACATTTTTTTCGATCGAGCCTCTGTACACGTATATTTCTACAAGTCGTATCTCGTGTCTAATCGAGGAAGCAAAGTGTACAAATCACGTTCGCTTCAAGTGTGTGTTTCGTCTAACGAATTCACGCGAGAGAAGAAATTTGCGTTAAAAAGAGAGAGAGAAAATTGAAAGACGAAGGAAGTGAAAAAGAGAGAGAAAATCGAAAGATGAAGGAAGTGAAAAAGAGAGAGGAAGAGATTTTTGCTCATTCGCGATGTTACCGTTGCAAAAAAAAAAAAAAAAAAAAAAAAAAAAAAAGCGAATTTAAAGGATGCGTGTGGAGCTTCAACGGGAGTAAGAAAACCCGAACCGAATTAGTGAGAGATTAGGATTAAATAACGACGATGAACGACGATCGGAGGAGATATTAAGAGAAAGAAAGTCATAGTTAATCGTGAAGACTAAAAAAATCTTCAGCCACGTGTTTGTATTCGTTTGTATGATTTTTTTTATCTCGTATTTTTCTACGTTCCATTGTCTAGGTATCGCGAGCCGACAGAGATACACGATTTTTAATCCATTTAGCGCTGTATGTTCTCCACGTAGACGCGTAATTTCTACATATTTTCTCGTCCCGTAGGGCTTATTGTCAGCCGTGCCTCGTCTGTTATATTTTAACAAGGAGGACGCGCCATTTTAGCGCTGTTCAGTGTTCACAGAGTTGGACAGAATTTTCTTCTATTTCTTCTATCGTTTCCTTAAATTTATTATTCCTCGACACTGTGCAGAGAACGTTGTTGAATCGTTGATTGAGCTGTAACAAATGTATCATGCCCATTCGTTGATCAAATAATTCCACGGAAAATGTATATATGTATATATTGTTTATTCGTTAAGTTTCATCGAAACGCGTAAACAAATTCTATCCGACTCTGGCTGGTATTCTTCGAAAACGTGTGTTTCGCTATAAAACGACAAAAAAAGGGAAAAAAAAAAACAAAAAACAATTGAAATCTCGTTGAATTGTTCGCCGTCGCTTGTTCTTTAGGATACCTCGCGTCCGCCATTCGGGTAACACATATCTTTTTTCTATAATAAGTGTCGCGTTACGTATACATATATTATATATATTTATACATATTGTTGCAACCTGCCTTCGATGCTTCCTCTTCGTTCGGCATATTTAATAACTATCTTTGTACCTAAACTCCTGGATAACTTGAACACGAACACCTCTTAACATTTATTAACAAGCGTACAAGTATCTCAGTCAGTCTCGGATAAGAACAGAGACTGTGTTGAATCAATATTCCCCGGTCGGTAAGATCCGACCGTCTTTTATTAATTCCGGAGCGAGCACCGGTAGGCCATGAGTATATGCACGGTGCTCGCAACAATATATTTTCTACGTACGTTAGTACATATATATATAAATTTATCGTCCTTGTAAGACATCGAGGTTTCTTCACCGGATACCGTTTTTTCTTGTCCGTGATCAATTATTACGTCGAACTTCTTCGCACTGCTTGGACACACACACATACACACATGTACAGCACAAACAAAGTATACATAGAAATAAATCGTTTAATCGACGGAGGAGATGGATTTAACAGGCTTCAAAGGTACATTTGGATATTCGTCGAAGAAAGTCTATGTTGAAAAAATATAGAGGGAATCGGTGCGATACAATTGATCTGATTTTCATGATTTTACGAATGAAAAGTTGTGCCAATCAGTGGAACGATTCACGCGGAATATTTTGGACCAAACTTCTGTGTCAAAAGAATCGTCTTGAATTGAAATTTATGTTAACCCTTTGCGGACGAAGGACCAAGTGGCAGGTTGAAGTATTCGTTACTTCTGTAACACGTAATTAGGTCGCTACTTCGTTCCTCTTTTTTTCTCTTCAAGTAAATTATATCAAAATTACATTCTTCTGAAATACACGTACATGAGCTCAGAATCGCGGCAACTATTTTCATTGCTCAAAGATATACGAGTTTATTAGTTACTTTCGTGGTGTTTTGTAAACGCGTATGTCAGTCTGACGTTCTCAAAGGGTTAAAAAAGAAATTGCAATTTAGTTAATAAAATGAATAATTACTTAGCTTCTTTTAACGAATAAGGTCTACCGTATCGCGCCAAATCTCGCACCAAAATTGTCATCACCGTGGAAAGTAGGAAGTCTTCAAGACGCCAAGCAGCGACGTTCACCTGTGATCGAAAAGGCGGGAGTTAAAAATCGATCGGAGAAGAAAACGAAAGCATAGATCGTATGGAAGAAAGAAAGTTAGTTGGACAGAGAATGGGGAGGAGGAAACGAACGATACACCGGTGCTTTGAGAGGAAAAAGGGGGGATTAGGGGCTTTTTTGGAGGATGAATTATCATAACTCGGTACCAAAATGAAAAAGGGGATCAACGTACGAACACCAATTAGCTCTTAAAAAGACGGTCTATCGTCGCTTATTATTATTATACTGTTACTAGACTACTCTAACTTTATTGTCGAATTATATCGTATAACGTATGTACATATAATAGTACACTTTCGAGAGAAAGAGAGAGAGAGTAATCGTTTTGAACACAATCGAATCACGATGATCTACCTGTAGACCAGCCAGGCCGAGGTAAGTTCATATCCTTGCTAGGCACACGCCAGCACGTTCGCAAATGTTTCACGTCAAATACTCCACTCGATTCGCGACAGTGTAAATATTTCCGATATATAATAATAATAATACGTGGAGAACGTGTCGAGTATAATAGTTTCTCCTTTCGAGTCTATCCGGTGTTGTAAAATCCTTTTTCTCGCGCTTCGTCAGAAAGGGTGCCTTCCAGCCACTCGATTTTTCCATCGTCACGTACAATTTTCGTTGTTCTTCGAGCGAAGAAAATTCGTTCACTAAGACATTCCGATTCGAAGGGGTATTTTACGATTTATCAGATAGGTGTTATAAAATTCTTCTCGATAACAGGAAGAAAAATCTCTCGAATCTTTCGAAATTCAGGTGTAAAATTCTTCTTCTCTGCGAGAGGAAGGAAAATCTTCAATCTTTCGAAATTAATATCGACGTATCTTTCGTAAAGATCCTTTACCACGAAAGAATTTTATCTGTGAGAAATTTTCACATTCGAATTGAACTCTCGTCGAATTAGGGCTCCTGAAGAGGAGAAGTATAGCGAATCGAACGGAGTAGTTGGATGATTTTCGTGTTCTCGCTCTCCTCGTGTGTGTCTCTTATCCTCTTGTAATTAAACCGATATTTTTAAGAATCGAGTTTTAGAGATCGAGATAGGGCATGATCCGCGAGCGTGTAAATCGCGTATACACCCCAGCGTGCCCCAGTGTGTACAAGTAAACTAAAGGTGTAATATCACTGTAGAGTACAGGTTATTCGGTAACGATGGTGAATCGACTCTAGAAATGCCTTCGAGCGTAAGATACGTTGTTCTGATTATTTTTTATATATGTAGAGTAACCACGACGCCTTTCTAATTCTATCCTCGAAAGGGGGTGTTGGACGACGTTCGTCGGGACGGAGAACGATCGATTTTTCCATTGTATTTAACGTCCCTGCCTGTTTAACGAGAAAAACGAGCCGAGGTCCTTCGCTCTGCGACGAACGTCGCTAAGACGTCG